GAAATGCAAACATACGAATAAAAAATAAACAAACATACAAATAAATACGAAAACTGCAAAAAGAAAATAAAAAGAGAGAGAAAATATAACAGCAACTATGAAAAATTGAGAAAAAATTGTGTATTTCCATGGTAAACAGTCAATGAATTTTACTTCGATTATACTTCTGATACACATCAATAGCAGATGCACTGTGGGTTTAGAATATAGGAGTTTGGTAGACATTGCTAAGAGAACTGAACTAGAACTGAACTAGAACTGAACTAGAACTGAACTAGAACTGAACTAGAACTGAACTAGAACTGAACTAGAACTGAACTAGAACTGAACTAGAACTGAACTAGAACTGAACTAGAACTGAACTAGAACTGAACTAGAACTGAACTAGAACTGAACTAGAACTGAACTAGAACTGAACTAGAACTGAACTAGAACTGAACTAGAACTGAACTAGAACTGAACTAGAACTGAACTAGAACTGAGAAAACTGAAACTAAACTGAACTAGAACTGAACTAGAACTGAACTAGAACTGAACTAGAACTGAACTAGAACTGAACTAGAACTGAACTAGAACTGAACTAGAACTGAACTAGAACTGAACTAGAACTGAACTAGAACTGAACTAGAACTGAACTAGAACTGAACTAGAACTGAACTAGAACTGAACTAGAACTGAACTAGAACTGAACTAGAATTGAACTAGAACTGAACTAGAACTGAACTAGAACTGAACTAGAACTAAACTAGAACTGAACTAGAACTGAACTAGAACTGAACTAGACTGAACTAGAACTGAACTAGAACTGAACTAGAACTGAACTAGAACTGAACTAGAACTGAACTAGAACTGAACTAGAACTGAACTAGAACTGAACTAGAACTGAACTAGAACTGAACTAGAACTGAACTAGAACTGAACTAGAACTGAACTAGAACTGAACTAGAACTGAACTAGAACTGAACTAGAACTGAACTAGAACTGAACTAGAACTGAACTAGAACTGAACTAGAACTGAACTAGAACTGAACTAGAACTGAACTAGAACTGAACTAGAACTGAACTAGAACTGAACTAGAACTGAACTAGAACTGAACTAGAACTGAACTAGAACTGAACTAGAACTGAACTAGAACTGAACTAGAACTGAACTAGAATTGAACTAGAACTGAACTAGAACTGAACTAGAACTGAACTAGAACTGAACTAGAACTAAACTAGAACTGAACTAGAACTGAACTAGAACTGAACTAGAACTGAACTAGAACTGAACTAGAACTGAACTAGAACTGAATTAGAACTGAATTAGAACTGAACTAACACTGAAATGGGAGTGAAGTAGAAAAATACATTTTTGAATGTCGTAGTTTTATTCAATCCCACAGTGTTCTTTTGAATAAGTAAATGTTACACAGGCACACAGTCAATGAATTCCGGTAAAAATTACTAGCGCTTTACCAAACAGATTCTGGCGTACTCAGGCTTATACGTTTGCGAACAACAACAACAACAGTAATAAAAAACAAACAAAATAAAATTGAAGAATAATAAATTTCTGTTATATAAAAGTAGGCAATTGGAACAACTTAAACAAATGAATAAGAAAACGAAATTATAAAATAAGACACACATTCGCTTAATGCCAAAATTTATTACACAATTATCCCCAAAAATAACTGGGGTAAACAAACTCTCACACACACACACACAAACAAAAGGATCAAACTACTTAAGAAAATCAACGAAGTAAAAGCCGAATGAATAATGAAACATCTATTTAGGGCCAGATTTCGTAAATAAAGACATAAATAATTTCAATTTCCCAATCAAAATAAGAAAAACTACCAATAATAAGAAATTTATTATAATTTGTTTGTTCTGTTGTTACTGTTGTTGACGATTGACTTTCCACCTACATAATCTTACTCCAGCCAATGGAATGGATTTTGGATGAAGAACTCATCAAACATTAACAGAGCCAGACTGTTGAAGACTTAAATATTTTATGACATGAAATAAAGAAGTTGTTACAATTGTAACTTTTTTTTTTGGTGTAAATGAAAACTGAAAGAACATAATGCACCAGGCTGTTTCAAAGTTGTAAAGAAAAAGCATTTATTTATAATTTACAGTAAGATTACAATTGGAAACGCAGACGATAAGCGAAATACGTTTTTCTGAATTTGCTAAACAAAGTGCATTTTTCAGTTTCGAGAAAGTAGGGACCTAAACAAAGGAGAAAAAATAATCATTGTCACATAACATTCCTGAACACTTCCTTTATAGACGGTGTAAATCAAATCCTTTTGAAAAACTAACTAACAACAGTCAAACATCATCATTGTCATCTAAATCATCCGCATCATGATTGTGTTTGCCAACCAAACAAAACAAACATAAAAAAAAAGAAAAAACACCAGGATTAGTTTTAGTTTAGTTACGTTTTTGTATTTTATAATTTATTGACTTTGCAGTTGTAAAAGTTTGACTTCCTTCTGTCTCTCTACCCTGCCCTTCTCTGTCTAACAGACACTCTCTACCAACACTCCTGCAAAACAATAAAAACGTGCAAGCAGCAAATGGACTCTCATCGACCATTAAGCGGTTTAGACGTACAAACATTCATACATACATATGTGCCAGACATTCAGCCAAAACGTAGAGACACAGTCATATGATATTAGAAAGTAGTTTAGTACAGCCATTAATTTTAATACAACCATAAAAAAAGTAAAAATGGCGCCACGACAATCAAATCACATTAAACTCAAACCGCAACAACAATAAGAATAAAGCATTAAATACTGTAGAAAAATTTATTAAAAAGGATTCAATGTAAAAGTTTTAAAGGCCCCAAAATTAAAGCCAAAAATTACAGCATTAAAATGAAAAGAAGAGAAAAGTATAAGAGGGTTGCAATAAAAGTAAAGTAGTAAAACTTTTTAAACATGTCTTTTCTTCCATTCTTTAAATAAAATTGAAGATTCTTAATAATTTAGACACAAAATTATCCATTTGATAATGCAAGAAAACGCTAAATGCAGCATTACTGAACTGAATAACTGACAACTGCCCTAAAAACATGCAAAACTCATCGTCTGTCTGTCAATAGCAAACAAAAGAAAAAGAGTACAAGATACTGTTTAAACTTGTCTCATTATTATCGGCCAAATATCTACAAAACATTAACAACATGCAACATGCGACCTAACCGGTTTCTGGTGTCACAGTTACTTTAAACATAAGATCCTCCACATGTTGCAAAAACTAAAGTTGCCAAGTTTAAAATAAGAACAAAAAAACACTTATTTAGGAATAAAACAGTATTATTTTATAAAAGTTTTTCAAGAATGTATTCACAGTATTCACTTTTAACCAATGAAAGTTTTCTAAAGAAAACTGTTCACCAATGGATGTTTTTTTCGCAATCTTTTGACTAACTAGCTCTTTTAAGTTTTTTTTTAAATGAATGCTTTTTATTCACCTATGAAAACGTTTTATATCAATGAAAGCTTGTTATAGAAAACAATAAAAGCTTTTTATAAACAATTCTTCACCAACGAAAGCTTTTTATAGAAAGCTTTTCGCCGCTGAAAGCTTATTACAGAAAACTTTTCACCAATAAAAGTTTTTTATAGATAACTTTTCACCAATGAACGATTTTTATAGAAAACTTTTCACCAATGAATGGTTTATATAGAAAACTTTTCACTAATGAAAGCTTTTTATAGACAACTTTTCAACAATAAAAGCTTTCTATACAAAAATCTTCCCCAAGGAATTTTTTCAAGCTTTCAAGCTTTTTACAGAAAACTTTTAACCAATAAAAACTTTTTATAGAAAACTTTTCAACAATAAAAGCTTTTAATAGGAAATTTTTCACCAATTATAACTTTTTTAAACAACTTTTCACCAATGAAAGGTTTTTATAAAAAACTTTTTACCAATGAACGATTTTTATAGAAAACTTTTCACCAATGAATGGTTTATATAGAAAACTTTTCACTAATGAAAGCATTTTATAGAAAACTTTTCAACAATAAAAGCTTTCTATACAAAAATCTTCCCCAAGGAATTTTTTCTATAGAAAAATCTTTACCAAAGAATTTTTTTCTGTAGAATAATGTTCACCAATGAATTTTTCTATAGAATAATGTTCACTATTGATATTTTTCTATAGAAAAATCTTCACCAATGATATTTGTCTAAAGATAAATTTTCACCAATGATACTTTTTATAGAAAAATCTTCACCAATGAAAATTTTCTATAGAAAACTCTTCACCAATTATATTTTTCTATAGAAAATCTTCACCAATGATATTTTCTATAGAAAGATCTTCACCACCAATAAAAGTCTCCTTAAGAATTTTTATAACCAATGAAAGCTTTTTTTTAATGTATTAAAACATTTGGCAGCTCTGCTTTTGGAACAAATAAAATTTATCTTCCTTATTGTTTATATCTTTCCTTAAAGGCTTCACAACACGCATATGTGAATGAGAGAATATAAATAGAATCTCTCTCGCTAAATTTTAAACCCTTGAGGGGTGCAGTCATTTACTAGAATCTCGGACCTAACAGAAATTGTAAAAGTTCGTAAAGTTGTTATTTCAGTCGAATTCTAATGCTTTCTTGTAGGCAACCAGGGAGTTTTTTTCGAATCATTGAAAACGTTACAATCCAATAAGATTTTAAATTTAAGAAAGTTTTATTAAACAAATTTTGTATAGAAAGTATATTTGCTTAACTTTAAATCTTTAAATTTCGATTATATTTTTGTTATTGTAATTATTAAAAGACAATATCACCCTCAATGGGTTAATACAATCTTCGATTGATCTTCTGCTGGTCGCTCTTTACAAAAATTAATTAAATGAAACGAACTTTTTCTCATAAAAGTTAAAGACCATTCAATAACAATCGAAAAAAAAAACTCATACAAACAAAAAGTATCTCATATCAAAAGAACAGCTCAGAAGAATCAGTTAAAATTGAACAACAGAAGGGTGAACATAGGCGCAATAAAAAGAAATTCTTAGAAAAACATAAGAAAAAAATTAATTTAAATTAATTAAAAAATAATACTAAAACCATATTTATAAATCTTTAAAGAAATTATAATTAAAAATTGCATTTCAATTAAAAGCGATTCTTTGTCATAGACGTCACTTAAAGAAGAAACATGACTCTAGTGTTTTGTTGTCTATTTAGAGGTCAAGTTTTCAATTAAATAATTAAAAGACGACAGCAAAACAACACAATTGTTGGCGTTTTCAAAACAAGTACAGAAGTCTATATAACCAATAAAATACATAACAAAAACTGAAAAACAACTACTTGCCTCGAGGTCAAATGTCAACTTAAACAGTGAATGAATGACGTAAAGTGTCGTGTCTTATAGTGAAATACGAGTAATGTTGTCTTGTCGCAGTTAAATGATAAAATTAAATTCGAAATAAAATGCAGAAATATTTCTCACTATTATTCATCCTCTACATTTGTTGTGCCTGTCAACAACAGGCTAATGCCAAGTGTGAATCCGCCACAATTCGATCGATTAAAGACTTTAATAAACTGCAAAATTGTACTGTCATCACTGGTTATGTGCGTATAGTACAAATGCAATTTACTCCCAAGGCCTTGGAGCATGTTAAAGCCTCAAATATAGAGGAAATAAGTGAATATTTATTAGTGTATCGTGTTGAGGGTCTTGACAGTTTGGAAAGGCTATTTCCCAAACTGCTGGTTATACGAGGCGTTGAATTGTTGTATGACCAATATGCATTGATTATTTTGGAAAATCGCGATTTAAAAAATATTGGTCTGGTGAATTTATTGCGTGTTTTAAAGGGTTCAATACGTGTCGAATCGAATCCTTCATTGTGTTTTACGCACACCATTAATTGGGTATCGATTTTGGGTAATAATACAAAACAGTATTACTATGTAATGAAGGTGAGTAATAAAACGAACTATTAATATAAATTTAACAATAAATCTGAAAGAAAAGCCTTTACAAAAAACTTTCTTTGGCAAAAGTTTTCTAAAGAAACTTTCATTGGTGAAAAATTTTCTATAGTTATAGTTCTGTTCTAGTTTTGTTCTAGTTCTGTTCTAGTTCTGTTCCAGTTCTGTTCTAGTTCTGTTCTAGTTCTGTTCTAGTTCTGTTCTAGTTCTAGTTCTGTTCTAGTTCTGTTCTAGTTCTGTTCTAGTTCTGTTCTAGTTCTGTTCTAGTTCTGTTCTAGTTCTGTTCTGTTCTAGTTCTGTTCTAGTTCTGTTCTAGTTCTGTTCTAGTTCTGTTCTAGTTCTGTTCTAGTTCTGTTCTAGTTCTGTTCTAGTTCTGTTCTAGTTCTGTTCTAGTTCTGTTCTAGTTCTGTTCTAGTTCTGTTCTAGTTCTGTTCTAGTTCTGTTCTAGTTCTGTTCTAGTTCTGTTCTAGTTCTGTTCTAGTTCTGTTCTAGTTCTGTTCTAGTTCTGTTCTAGTTCTGTTCTGGTTCTGTTCTAGTTCTAGTTCTCTTCTAGTTCTGTTCTAGTTCTGTTCTAGTTCTGTTCTAGTTCTGTTCTAGTTCTGTTCTAGTTCTGTTCTAGTTCTGTTCTAGTTCTGTTCTAGTTCTGTTCTAGTTCTGTTCTAGTTCTGTTCTAGTTCTGTTCTAGTTCTGTTCTAGTTCTGTTCTAGTTCTGTTCTAGTTCTGTTCTAGTTCTGTTCTAGTTCTGTTCTAGTTCTGTTCTAGTTCTGTTCTAGTTCTGTTCTAGTTCTGTTCTAGTTCTGTTCTAGTTCTGTTCTAGTTCTGTTCTAGTTCTGTTCTAGTTCTGTTCTAGTTCTGTTCTAGTTCTGTTCTAGTTCTGTTCTAGTTCTGTTCGAGTTCTGTTCTAGTTCTGTTCTAGTTCTGTTCTAGTTCTGTTCTAGTTCTGTTCTAGTTCTGTTCTAGTTCTGTTCTAGTTCTGTTCTGGTTCTGTTCTAGTTCTGTTCTTGTTCTGTCCTAGTTCTGTTCTAGTTATTATTCTGTTCTGGTTCTGTTTTAATTCTGTTGTAGTTTTAGTTCTAGTTCTAGTAAAAATAAAAATATATATTTTTATTTACAGAACAATAAATCTCCCAATCAATGTCCTCTCTGTTATACATATCAAGATGAACTTGATACAATCGAGGTTAATCGTCACAAGAAATGCTGGTCTCTGGGCAAGTTCCAGAAAACCACTTTAGATTATATAGATGGTAAAAAGTGTTACAAACAAGGCGGTAGAAGCAGCTGTTTGACTTCTTGCTCGGATAGTAACTGTAGACATTGCACAAAATATGTCTCTGAGAGAGGTTGTGTGGATAATTGTTTACCTCCCAAATATAGATTGGTGAGTTTTAAAGGGACTTAACATTTATTTTCACTTTAATTACAATTATATATTTTTTAAAAAAGGCCTTTAAAAGACAATGTGTTAGTGATTGCAATCAATTGAAACTTAAGCAATTGGGCATGGAATGTGTGAAGGAATGTCCCAAACATTATGTGGAAGTAAAGAAAAATGGCAAAATTTCATGTGCTTTAAATTGTACTGGCAATTTTATTGTACACACTATAGATGACTTGGAAGGTTTAGCGGATTGTAGTACGATCGAGGGTTCCTTGACCATAGAATTATATGAGGTTCACAGTAAGTCTTCATGAAGGCATTAATTGTAATGTGAAATATTTATTTTTTTTTTAATATTTTTACAGAACCCTTAATACAAAATTTGGAACATGCTTTTCGCAATTTAAACGAAATTACCGGTTATTTGAAGATTTTAAGTTCACCACAAATTGTTTCTTTACATTTCTTTAAAAATCTCCATACTATAAGGGGTTCGGAATTGATAGAAGATAGGTATGTTTGGAAATCATTAATATTTTTATCGATTTATTTAAGAGATTTTTTATTTTTTCAGATATTCTCTTTATGTGGTTGATAATCATTATTTGGAAGAATTATGGCTTGGTAGAGTTGCCATTTTACATGGCTGCGTTTATTTCCATTTCAATCCCCGATTGTGTTATGAAAAAATTACCGATTTACAGGAAAGTTTTAAAGAATGTACAAAAATAACGATTAAGGATGCTTCTCGAAATTCAAATGGCGAAAGAGTAGTGTGTAAGTTTTAAGTAGCTTTAGCAAAATATTTTGTTTGATAGACTTCTCTACAAAAATTCTTCTATCTTCCGGTTAAAAACTTGTCTATAGAAATTGCTTTCTTTAAAGAATTTTCTGTAGAAAATCTGTTCATTGAAGAATTTCCTATATGAAATCTTCTTTTTTAAAGACTTTTCTAGAAAATATTTTATTTGAAATAGTTTTCTATAAAAAATCATTTTTTATAAAAAAAAGACTTCTATAGAAAATCTTAAGCTTGAAAGTACTGTTCTAAATTTTAAAATTCTACTTTTTAAAGATTTTCTCAGGATGCATCATGGATTTTCTATATCTTCCCTATTTTAGGCGGTCCAGATATTCGAGATCTTACAGCCAATATTACCGATTTCAATTCAAATTCCGCTGTCGTACAAGTTGATCTCATGGTTCCAGAAGAGTTTAGTTTACTGATTGGTTACACGTATTACTATAAAGAGGCTGCTGAAAGGAATGTAACAAAATTCGATGGTCGTCATGGTTGTGGCAGAGATGGGTAAATATTTAAACTAAACACCTCAGGTCCCATACAACTTTTTAATGTTGTTGTAATTTTAGTTGGATGACCGATGTCGTTGTTAGCCAACGTAGACGTCACATTTTAAAGCATCTTAAACCGGCTACACAATATGCTTATTTTGTTAAAAGTTTGACCACCATGGATTATCCTTACTATGCGCAACATGTATCGGAAATAGAATATTTTCAAACCGAACCCGCCAAGCCAGAAAAAGTGGCAAAGATGTATACACACAAATTGTCCACTAAGGAAATTGTGAGTACAAATTCTTTAAAATTAAATGTTTTAAATTTTAAAAGTCGCAATTTTTCAAAACAGGAAGTTCATTGGTGGCCACCACGCATACCCAATGGCATTATAGAAAAATATATTTTGCAGTATGAAGTAACAAGTAAGTAAACTTTGAAATTCCTAATAATTTAACAAATGTTTATAACATCTTCGTTAAATGTATCTTTTTACAAACAGATGACACAATTCCTTCTGAAACTTCAAATCAAAATAAGGAAGAACTTTGTCAATGTCCTAAACTTGATACAGAATCGATAATTCCCACTCCTCATGTAGATGATTATCACAATAAAGTGCAATGGCTATACAAAGATGCCTTAAGTAATTTCCTGTAAGTTTTCTCTTAAACCAAATCTGAATCTATACCTCACTCTAATGTTGTTTCTTAAACCAAAGATTCCAAAAAAGCAAATCTTCCGGACAGATGACTCGCATTAAATCGGACAGCAATGAAACCGGCGAAGCTCGTGCCGAAAAGGCTTACAATGAATTGCGTAATCAAACCATACAAAAGCAAGAAGAAGCCAAAGAAACCTACATTTTACCTCACCCCTACCCAGTATGCAATCAATCCAATCCCAATATACAAGATCAAACAGAAAACAAGTGCATACCATTGGAAAGATATGAGGATGCCATTGAAATACCCGGCTATCGTCACTCCTACATATTGAATAATTTAGAACCCGAACAGACATATCGCATTAGTTTGAGAGCTTGTGTCAAGGATTTAGCCAATGGTTGTGGTCCGGAAAAGATTATATTGGCCGAGACAGTGAGCAAACGCTTGCAAACAATATTGGAGAACTTATCAATGCATAAGTTGTAAGTGGTTTAATGTAAATATGTAATAAATAGAATTTAATCAAAATAAAGTTACAATAAAATTATGTTTTTGTTAAATTATTACATATTTAGTTCTGGATAGAATATTTTTGAAAATTTAAAATAAAAACAATAACGTTTTTTCATTTAATGGTGGTTGTTCTCACTAAAGTTTTAAAACAAAAAATCTTTGCTTTTTCACGAAGAAAACACAGAATTACTTTATTTTGATAAATCACTATTGTGAATGAAATGGTTATGCGGTGTTTGTCAAAAAGAATGATGATAATACAGGTTTATATAAAAAATTGATAATACAGTTTCATAGTAATGCCATACTTCTGCGTGAAACAAAACCCGTTAAACATTATTTTAGTGTGAAAAATATAAATGAATTTAAAATAAACCAAAGTCGATAAAAAACGACAGCTGTATTATAAGATATTGTAGCAAAATAAATATAGAACCTAAAAATTAATACAAAAACATCGAGTAATAAGGGAAAAACCGAATACGAAGTTCAAAAGTCGAAAAATTTCAAAACATACAAATTAAAATGAAGGTCGAAAAAAGCACAAAAAAATTAAAATTGAAAAATTTTAAGAAATTCGAAAGATTGCAATAAAAGTAAAGTACAAAATTTACTAGACAGATTTTGCACATTTTAAATAACAATTATTTCTATAAACTTTTAAACTTTAAGTGTTTTTCCTACATTTTTTAATAATAAAGATTTAGAAGAAAACTTAAATTTTTTGTTAGGAAACTTAAATTTTATTTATTTTAGCTTTTGTTGGCTTAACGACTTTTTTCCTTAAACTTAGTCGACTTACCTACTTTATTTAATAAAATAAAATAAATTTTTGCCAAAAAGTCGATTGTTTGAAATTCAATTTATACAATTCTAGTATGACAGTCTTTTTTAGAAAAAATATGTTATACAATAGATTTTCTGTAAAATTAATGAATGAAAAATTTAATTTTCCAGCCTTGACTAAGAAAAACTAAAAATACGGTAACCAATTGCCATAACACACATAAAACCATATGGCAGCATTCCTAAATTGACATTTCTTTTTTTCCTTTCATTCTTTTTCATTCATTCGCATTCACACTTTGAGAAAAGTAAGTTACTGAAAAGAATATTTTTTTTTGCCAATAGAAAAATAAAAAAAAACTGTGGCGTAGATTAATGAAAATTAAAAGAAAATATTAAACAATTAATTAAAACGGATAAAAATAATAATGTTAAACATATAGAAAAATAAATGTTGATAAAATAACTATTTGTTACAAAGTGCCTAGTCTTTTGTTTCCTATAGGTCTGCTGGCTGGTTAAATGTAAGAAAACGGGACAAAAAACTACTTTACGTCAGCAATAATCGGACTAAAAGCAGAAAATTAATCAAAAAAGAATATTTAAATTTATAGTGTTATGTGATTACAAAGTAGCGGTTTTTTAAATAAACAAAATGAAAAGAAAATATTAAATAAAAGACGTTTTAAAATTTATCTATTCTAAAAATATTTCAATACTATAAGCAAAGGCAGAAAATATCTAGTATTAATTGTTCTTTACTGCTGCCTCCCATTATAGACGTTAACGTACGTATAATTGAAAGCCTCCTTCCTCTGCACAACAACATTTAATCATAAACAATTTAACCAGTCAAAGTGAAAATGTGTGTTTTGTATTGAAAATAAAATCAGTTTATTTATTTAGATTTGATTTTTGCAATTTTTTTCTATTTTGTTTGCTAGCTGATGACTGGCCATTGATGTATGCCGCGTCGCTGCTTGCGTCAATGTTAGGAATGGCCAGGGGAGTCAGTTAGTAAAACGGAAAGAATAAATGAAAAGTGATTGAACACATTTGCGTGTAGAGTGGAAGAGAATTATTAAATTAAATTATTAGAAGGAAAAAACAAGCTAAAGATGAAAGTAACAAAATAATAATGTTAATTATTTTGTTATATTATACCCTACACCACTGTAGTGGGGAGAGTGTTGTAAACTAAAATATTGTTTGCTAAAGCAACCTTAAAGTTGGACATGTCAAGGTGTCTGTCCAGCTGGCTGTCCATGTAAAACTAGTGCACAATGTACGGGTCGAAATTTTCAAGATATGCTCATGAAATTTGGATCATATAACCGGCCCGTATGATTTGGGCTCTAGAATCTCTGACCTCTTTGACCCTAGCCCCCCCATAAACACCCATTCAGAAAGTTAATTGAATATCTATAATTTCCTTATAACCATTAGTATCGCAATAAAATTCATCATAATTATGAAATTAAATCCCTGCTCCAAATTAGAACCAGTTAGAAAAGTAGATTTTCATCAATAAATTGCTCCAATGCAGCAGAATTAAGATAAAATTCGACATTAATACATATTTTTAAATTCACACATAACTGGTATAGGGTATCATAAGGTCGGCTATTTGTTTATTTATGTATTTTACGTTTTGTGTTGTTGTATTTCCAAATTATTTTTTGGAAAGGGGGATTTTAGTTCAATGTTCTTTTGAATGTTTTATTTAGCAATAAAAATGGAGTCTGGTTTTTCTGTTTTTGTATTAATACCCTACATTTAAAAGTTAGCTACAAAAAATGTATGAAGTACTTTTTAAAAATTTATTTTTTTTTTTTAATTTTTAAAATTGGTTATTTTCTTTTTAATTAAAATTTGGATTTTTTTTAATTTTACAAAGAAAATTAAAAATTAGTAAATCGCAAAACAATAATAAATCCTAGATAAAATAAAGGTATATCAAATCAAGGGCCTACGAGAATAAAGGGGAATTTTCTATTAAATACTACGCCAAACATTCGACTTTTACCCTTTTATTTTAATTAATTTATCTTAAAACGTATAAAACAACAGTTGTAAACTGAATTGTAAATGTTTATGCATATTTGTATTTGATTTAAGAATGTTGTTCCCCCTTAATATAGTCAGTTTTAATTATAACATAAAATAATAAAAATTACCACAACTTGTTTATCGTTTCATTAACAAAGTGATAATGGTGTTGGTGTTCTGGTAGTATTTGTTAGGGAATTACATTTGTTATTATAGCTTTAAAAAAAAATAATTGCGAATTAATGTTTTTTAATTATTTCTCTTCTAACTTTTTCTAATATTTAACCCTTAACGCTAATAGCTTAAATCAAAATTATTAAGCAAAATTGTTTAAAAAAGTACCATAGTTGCTCAAGCCTAAAAACTAAAGCAAACAAATGTTATTTTTAACAATTTGCTTAATTCTATGTAGCTGGAATTTTTAACCAGTAATTGTGATAAGCAATTTTTTTGACTGTAAATGTTTTTGTACATTTTCTAGCTTTAAATACTCTACATTGAATAACTTTACTTAACTTTATTATCTCTATCTCTGTTTTGATTATAATATTTATTTTAAAATTATAAATTTATAAATAAATTTACTTTTTAAAAACCACGTTATCTTTTTGTCAGTCTGAAAGCTTTCAGTCTTAAGCATTTTTGCAATGTTTTATACAGTAAAATCATTTTCTTATTACTGAAATAAATTTTAATTTACCCATTAACAGTGCAATAAACTTTATTTCCTTACAATATTAGTACATGATGTTTATAATTAGATTTCACGTAAAAATAATTGAGAAAAATGTGACGACACTTTTTCACTTTTAGTTAAAATCGTTTTTTATTGCTTTACTAAAACAAATTGAGAATTGTAAACAAAATATTTATTTCTTATAATTATTTTATTTCACACTAGAACTGAACTGGAGCCGAACTAAAACTGAACTAGAACTGATCTAGAACTGAACTAGAACTGAAAAAGAACTAAACTAGAACTGAACAAGAACTGAACTAGAACTGAACAAGAACTGAACTAGAACTGAACTAGAACTGAACTAGAACTGAACTAGAACTGAACTAGAACTGAACTAGAACTGAACTAGAACTGAACTAGAACTGAACTAGAACTGAACTAGAACTGAACTAGATCCGAACTAGAACTGAACTAGAACTGAACTAGAACTGAACTAGAACTGAACTAGAACTGAACTAGAACTGAACTAGAACTGAACTAGAACTGAACTAGAACTGAACTAGAACTGAACTAGAACTGAATTAGAACTGAACTGGAACTGAACTAGAGCTAAACTAGAGCTAAACTAGTACTAAACTAGAACTAACCTAGAACTAAACTAGAATTAAACTAGAACTGAACTAGAACTGAACTACAACTCAACTACAACTGAACTAGATCTGAACTAGAACTGAACTAGAACTTAACTAGAACTGAACTAGAACTTAACTAGAACTGAACTGAACTAGAACTAGAACTGAACTAGAACTGAACAAAAACTGAACTATAAAAAGCTCTTGTCAACATTTTTTCAAAAGTACTTAAAATTATGTATATCAAAATGAAGCACTTTTTGCATAAATCCTACAACAACTATAAAACTTTATATTGTTAAAATAAAATAAAAAATTACATTTATTCAGATAAGAAAAAACATGTTTATAAATCAGTAAATATGATTTTTATTAATATTATTTTCCTTTATCAAATCTCTTTAGTTAACTGGTGTCATACATGAACTACTATGAAAAAAACTTTTAATGTTGTTTTGTTTTACTATTTATAAATAAAAGGAAATCTTATCAGGAACAATAAAAATAAAAGTGGACGTGACTAGAAGAGAGTAAAGTTAATGGCCATACATAAAAATAAATAAACAAAACAAAATTTAGAGTGGAAAATATAATCGTTGAATCATCTACGTACATATGATAGGACAGTTATAAGTGTAATGTTGTGAAAATCTCATAATTAAGTAAGAAATGCGATTAATGAAAACAACGTAGAAATATTTTAATAAATGTAAGTTAATAAATTTTTATATTAGGGTTTTTTTGTAGAATAGATTTTGTATTTTAGTTTCTTGTTCTCCTAGTTCTTTTGGCGTTATTGACCTAATAAACGTGTTTTATTTTCTTTTGTATAAATTAAATGTTTATTTTGGTGGTCACCTAGCAATTCTTATCAGTATTTAATCAATTGTTTGGTAAGAGAATTTCAAAAAATATATAACTTTTAATTGATTTTTGTTTTATTTTTTCTTTCTTTATTATAACGATTGAGAAATGTGCGTTATGAAGAAATACATTTTTGCGCCATCATATTTATGTCTGGGCGACTATAATAGGTCTATTCATTTACAACGAAATAATGAAAGAAATATTTACAAAAACTCTGCTAATCCTCAAAAAACAGGAAAATATTGATGAACACATTTTCCAGTAACAATTTGTAATTAAACAAGATTATAATATGTGTGACGATGAAATTGATTTAAAATTTACTCATGGTTCCAAAATACTTAAAATTTACCTAGATTATAAGTTAATTTTTAAATATTTACTTCTCAAACATTTTTGTTTAAGTACATACAAATAAGATAAAAAACAGATATGGAATAATTCAAATAAGTACAAAATTTAACATGCAACAATAGAACACCTTGTCAAAAGTGTTTTCTACTGATTTTTTTACTCTTCTTTAAAAGTTGTTTTTAGTTTTTGAACACATCTTATATCTTGAGTCATTTTCATTTTGAGCATTTGAGTCATAGTTTGTGTGTTTTTCGTTAATAAAAATAACAGGATAATTTGTTATTTGCTTGAGGTAATTTGAAGAGCATTTTATTGCAGTTTCGCTTGGTAACAAAGGTTTAATAAACTTGTAAAATGTTGTTTATATAAAAAAACAATGATTCAATAACACAGATCAACAAAATTGTTGGCCCATAGGGCATAATATACTTTTCTAAATGATTGAACTGCGCTGAACCCTGAGGTTCTGAAGTTAGATTCAGACTCAGCTTAGCTTAACCTTTTAATATAGTTTCTGTGGGTGCCTGAGTTTTGACATTTTAAATTGCGGACATGACTTAATTTACTCAGAAAATGATTCTAAGCCAATTAGTATATTTAAAGGTGGATATAGGATCATTATTATTGTGGGGTATAATAAGAGATTCTATTGCCTCAGATTTGTTTACAAATTTATAATGATTTTCTCGCTCCAATTTAAAAAAATTTAATTTAATGTGTTTGTTTTGTAGTTAAAATAATTTGACGTTTTATTTATGATAAGCTGATGAAATCTTTTAACACGTCATAATTCTAAAGAGTAATACTGTTATTCAAGTACCGCTTTTGAGCCCAATGGATTAAAGTTGATCACTTGGTAACTGATGATATTAAAAAAAATGTCAACAACTTTAGAAAAAAATTTAAGATAAAATACATTATTTATACTAAATTAGAATTCGCCAAAAAAACTTAAAGTTCCTACAAAAAAAAAAAAAAAAAACATTGCGAACTATTGTCCCAGCTAGTTCCGTCTAATGTTTATCTAATATTTGTTATAAGTAGTACGTTGTACAAACTAGACTACCAACACTATTGTACTACACTTGTATACATACTACTTGAACGTTTAAAACAACAATTAACACCAAAATTTTACTGCCTTATATCTCTCATTGTTATTATTACGCTTTAGACTCCGATGTTTTTTTGATGTTTCACTTATCTTGGCATTTAAATCAACAAGGGATTTCTGATAAATGTCGTTGTCTAAAAAGACTATATGTAGTTAAATTAAAAATATAATTAATGCAATCATATTTTTCAATTCTTTCTTATTTCAGCACTCAAAGTGTAGGGAACAAACGTGTTACGTGTCTCCCTATTAAATAAGAAAAAAACTAAAGAAGTTAAAGGAAAATTTTAAATATAAACCACTCGATTATTACTTTACTGTGATAATTCCTCTCTAAAGAAGTAAAACAGAGTTATTAATCATCATACAGCCGTAAGATGTCACAGAATCAATCATATTTTTGGCAGACCACAAGACACAATGTCTATTTGAAACGCTCGGCTAAATTGCACATGTTATTGGCATTGATGGCCGTTTTGACGTTCTCTACAATATGTTTGGCAGAGATAGAACCAAAATATAGTGATGAAACGGCTCAGGCAATGGGAATGCAAACAGTAAGTAGACGATTTCATACGATTTTTTATGTGATTTGATAAGATTTATTTTTATCGGAAAAATGGCCGATAAGTTTTTAATAGCATGCTGAAACATTGATAAATTCAATTAAATTTTAATTAAAAACAAATAAAGCGTAACGAAATTCGATTTTTTTATGAATGAAAATGTGGACAAACAACAGACAACAAAAAAATTATTGATTTTAATAGTTTTTATTATTTTGTAAAAATAGTGTTTATTTAATGAAAGTGAAAAAAATTTTTCGTCATGAAGTTTTAGTTCAGTAATATTCAGTTCTAGTTCAGTTCTAGTTCAGTTCTAGTTCAGTTCTAGTTTAGTTCTAGTTTACTTCTAGTATAGTTCTAGTTCAGTTCTAGTTCAGTTCTAGTAGTTCAGTTCTAGTTCAGTTCTAGTTCAGTTCTAGTTCAGTTCTAGTTCAGTTCTAGTTCAGTTCTAGTTCAGTTCTAGTTCAGTTCTAGTTCAGTTCTAGTTCAGTTCTAGTTCAGTTCTAGTTCAGTTCTAGTTCAGTTCTAGTTCAGTTCTAGTTCAGTTCTAGTTCAGTTCTAGTTCAGTTCTAGTTCAGTTCTAGTTCAGTTCTAGTTCAGTTCTAGTTCAGTTCTAGTTCAGTTCTAGTTCAGTTCTAGTTCAGTTGCAGTTCAGTTCTAGTTCAGTTCTAGTTCAGTTCTAGTTCAGTTCTAGTTCAGTTCTAGTTCAGTTCTAGTTCAGTTCTAGTTCAGTTCTAGTTCAGATCTAGTTCAGTTCTAGTTCAGTTCTAGTTCAGTTCTAGTTCAGTTCTACATCTTAATAAATCACTATCCATTTTTATTAAAAAATCAATTTCCAAAATTCTCTTGTAGAAATCCGCCCTTGACGACGCAATCTTAGTTAAAGACGAACAATTCGATGTGGCCAATGATTTAGCAAACGCAGATACAACAAAAGATACCCAAGCAAACTCCGGCTTTTTGGACGCATTTACTGCGTCCATCTCTGTAATTTTATTTACAGAGTTAGGTGATAAGACATTTTTCATAGCAGCCATTATGGCCATGCGCCATCCACGCTTAGTGGTCTTTACCGGTGCCATAACAGCCTTGGCCCTGATGACCGTACTCTCGGTGGTGTTTGGCATGGCTGCTACAATTATTCCTAAGGTCTATACATATTACATTTCAACGGCGTTGTTTGCCATTTTCGGTTTAAAAATGATCTACGAAGGTTATTTCATGAAGGCCACCGATGCTCAAGAGGAATTGGAAGAAGTACAATCGGATTTGCGTAAACGTGAAGATGAGGTAAGTGTTTGTGTGTTCCTTTTTTTTATTTTTTCTGTGTTGGAGTGTCACTGTTTTTTTTTTTTTTATTTTGCTAAAGCACTAGTATTTTTTTGTTGTTGGTATTATTAAAAATTTTTATTTATTTTGCATGTATAAACAAACAAACACGCTCTTCTCTATTTCTCTTTTTTCTTAAGCTACCCTTTTTTATTTTAAAACACACTGTAGTAGTAGTTGGGCTTTGATTTTTAAATTTTAAGTTTTTTTTTTTTTATTGAATATTTTTTCCAAAATTTTTTATGCAAAATAAATTTTGCTGTAAATTTTGTTCAAAATTACTTTTTGTTTGGTATTAATTTAAGATTTTACTAACTTTTTATGAACTTTTTTTAAAATGGGGTAATTTCTAATACTATGTTACTTCTATTTTCTCATCCTTTTAATCCCAATCCCTTTAACATTTCAAAATTTACTAATTATTTTAATGCATTTTCAAATATCCTGAAAACAAAATTATGGAAGCTTTTGTTAAAAAATATGCAATTTTTTATTAAAAATTTGAATTTCATTTGGCATGTTTTGGACGGTTTATAGAAATTTTGTAATAAATTTTAATTTTGATGAAAGAAGTTAGGAAAAAGTTAGGAATTTTCTTCGAATAGCATTTTTCTATAAGAAGACTGAACAAGAATCAGTAGTATTAAACTTAAAACAATATTCAACATTAGTTTATTAAACTGTCAGGATAACTATTTTCTATAAAAATTTTAAAACCAGATCTTTTATTAAGTTGTGAATTTAAAAGTTATTTTTAAAACAGAGTTGCGTTTAAATTATTTTACTTTGCTTCAACTTTCGACCCTGACTATTGTAACTAACATTGTTTGAATTTTATGTTTAATTTCTGGTTAATTTTTGCTCCCACTTTCTTTCTCTCTATATCTCTTTCTAAAACTATTATTATGTTGCAATGTTTGAGCCTTTCTAACACCTATTGTAAAATTGCCTAAACCTACAGCTCCTTTTTCCTTTCCTACTCCCTACTTTAAGCCCTTACTCCCGCTTCCTGCACCTAAAAAAATTGCATAATTTAAATTATTTTTTCTGTTGTCAACTCAAAGGTACTCTACTCAATGTAATTGCAAACGCAAATCATATAAATTAATTAATTTCCAAACAAAATAATACAACAAACAAAAACTTATAAAAAAGAATTTAACTAATAATAATAATGATGATGATGAAGATGATTAAATATGAATTTTGTTTGTACAATCGTTTTAATGCGATTTTATTTATTTATTTTTTTGTATATTTTTTTTCTTCTTCTATTGAATGTGTGGTTTCGTATAACCCAAATAAAACAAATCACCTACTTCTACCACTCTACAACTACTGCAACTATTATTATCACCAATGCCACCAAATCAAACAAATAAACTTCACCCCTTAATTGACATAAAAAAAAACAATAAAAATCCTTGTAAAAATTCCCCCTTTTAATCCATTATGAAAACCAACAAATGAAATTGAAAATTGGCCTCTTAATTGTCATGTATTGTGACTATAGCTCTTCCGCTCGAAACGTGGTGGCGATATTGAGGCCAAACGTAAAAATAGTAATTCGGATAAGGAGGATGCAGATTTAGAATGCGGCGCTGGCGCCTCAACTGCTACTCCACCAGCTCTGGCCACTGCCAAGAATCCGGAAATGCAGCATCGCCAACGCAAACAACTCTCATCTGCTCATAACAACACTAATGGCTGTGAATTGAACAAGGACAAAGATGACGAAGTAACTGCTGTCTTGGCTGACTCCTCTGCTAATAGCGATACGGATGACTTTCTCACTGGTGAGGAGGCCCTCAAACTGTCAACCTTCCATAGCAGTCCAGCTCTATCGGCGTCCGCCTTATCGAATCAAACGAATCAAACAAATTGTGATGATGATACTTCTAGTAATCATAAGCTTAGATATAATAATAGTATTAACAACAACAACAACAATAACAATAATGCCAGCAATGGTGGTACGCCTTCAAGAAAACCTAATCACAACGACTCTAATGGCAGAGTCTTGGTGCATTCTGCTTCCGCTACTGCTAACTTTAATAAGCAGCGCTCCTTGAATAAACAAACGAATGGCAATGTTTTGACCACCAGCGGTAGTGTCCATAGTATCAATAGTATAACTAGCTTGGGCCTCAACTCGGCAACTGGTGTTGCTGCTGGTCAGTCCAATGGCGAGTTGAAACAAGTTGGCGGCAACAAAAAACGGGTTAGCGTCTTTTTCTAGTACTTAAGACGTTTATATTATTATTTGTTTTTGTTTTTTTTCTCTCTCTTAATAACTCCACATATTTTTTGTGTGTTATATAATTATGTTTTTTTTTTAAATCATCTCTCATGAGTTTTTTGTACAATGAACCCATCTTCCAAAAAAATAAATATTTGGTTACTGCACATTCATATGTTTTTTTTTTTGTTATCTTAACATTCTAACCAATTCATTCATTATCCATTCATTATCACTCTGCATTTATTTACCACTCGCTATTCTGTTTTTCTCTGGTTATATGTTGGTTAATAACTTTTTTTTCAAATTTAACTAATTTATTTTCATAATCATTTTGTTAAATTATTTCGCTGTTATTTTGTTTATTAATTTTGTTATTTATTAATTTAGTTTAATACTGGCTGGGATGTATGATGTTGGTTGGCTGTATAATTATTTAATTTTTTGTTTGTGTGAAATATTTACCAATTTTTCAAACTTAACTAATTACGTTTAATACAATTTTAAACATTAGAGGGTTTTTAAAGCAGATGTTAGTACTTTTAAACAAATTAGTTTTTCTTTAGAAAATTATTTAAAAATTGGCAAAAGTATTTACTGTAAAGAAAGTTGGATGAACAATTTATTGCAATATAGGGATTTTTCTAATAATTATTTTCACTACTACAAATATACTTAAAGAAGTTTTATAGTTTGCAGAAGAATCTGATTTGAAACAACTTTTTAATTTTTTTTAATTTCTTTCTAATTGAATGCATAATTTTGTTTTCTTAGAAAATATTTGTTTTTGGAATGAAATAAATTTTAGTTTTTCTTTTAAGTGAATAAGTTGTTAATGCAATTTTTTAATTTTTCGTAAATTTTGAGTGATAAATTAATTATATGGAAATTTAAAATTTTATTAAAATTAAAATTTTTGGATTTTAGATTTTAATGAAAATCAAAATTTATGGACTTCTGTCGTGTAGAATTTTAATTATTAGTGAAAAAAATGTACATATTTTTACTTAAATCGATATTTTTTTAATATGTTTTTAGTTCAGAATCTGGTTTTTAGTTCAAATTTGAGTTTTTTGTTCAAAAACAGGTTTTTAGTAAAAAGTCACATTTTTAGTACAAAATGATGAATTAAATTTTTTAAATCAAGTTTAAAGTTCAAATCAGTTTTTTAATTCAAAATCGGGTTTTTAGTAAGAAATCATGTTTTTAGTACAAAATGGAGTTTTTCACAAAATTGAGTTTTTTAGTACAAAATAAGCAATTTTAATTAAAAAATTTATTTTTAGTACAAAATTTTTATTACAACATTGTTAAATTTTTTAGTACAAAATCGATTTTTTATTACAAAATCGATTTTTTTTAATATAAAATCGAACTTTTAGTACAAATTCAGAATTCTAGTACCGAATTGATTTTTTAATACAAAATCTAATTTTTTGTATAAAATCGAATTTTTAATACAAAATCTAAATTTTGTTTAAAATCGAATTTTTAGTATAAAATTGAATTTTTAGTACAATATCATAATTTTAGTACAAAATCAAAATTTTAGTACAAAATTTATTTTTTAGTAAAAATTCGTATTTTTTATAGTGAAAAATTGGATTAAAAAAAAAACAATTTTTTATACAAAATTAGATTATTAGTACAAATTAAATTTTTAGTACAAAATCAAATATTTAGTTTAAAACCAAATTTTTAGTACAAAATTGATTTTTTAGTAAACATTTTTATGTATTTTGTAGTGAAAAATTGTATATTTAGTACAAATTCTGATTTTTATACAAATTTTAGTACAAAATTAGACTTTTTTACAAAATTGGAATTTTGGTAAAAAATTTCAAATTGAATTTTTAGTACAATATCCTATTTTAGTACAAAATTGAATTGTTTGCATAAAACCAAATTTATAGTATTTTTGTAGTGAAAAATTGGATTTTTAGTACAAAATAAAATTTTTCATATAAAATCTGACTTTTAGTACAAAATTTGATTATTAGTACAAATTCGAATTTTAAGTACAAAGTCGAATTTTGCTTGATTTACAAAATATCATATTTGGTACTTAGTTGAGGACTTTTAATACAAAGTTTTAGAACAAAAATCGATTTTTAATAAAAAAAAATTAGATTTTTAGTACTAACTTAAATTTTATCCAAAAATGATAATTTCTAGGTTTTTAGTTAAAAAATATTTATTTAGTAAAAAAATGCAATCTTTTGTAAAAATCAGTTTTAGAAAAAAATCAGGTCGTTGAAGAAGATTCGTATCGAAAACACTTTTCAAAATTGAAATTAAGCTAAAATGAACTAGATTTTCTGATCGATTTCGAATATTATCATTTCAAAAAGGAAAATACAATCAATTTAACGATTTTAATGAAACATATTTCGGCTATGAATAAGGACTTAAAACTAAAAATTTTGAAATTTTTTAAAAATATTTTTTAAAAAAGTAACTTAAAAAATATATTTTTCATATTAAACATTAACATTCTAAACTAAACATTCACAAAATTTATATGTTATTTCTAACATAAACAATTGTTTTCTATAACAAAAATTTCACTAATACAAAGTTATTCCCCCTTACCTTCTCTAAACATTTACATTCCTCACTTTCCCAATTTTCAAAACCCCCAAAACAAACCAAACGTCTTTTACATACGTCTTTCTGATTTTAAAACCAGTTCAGCGAATACTGTCAAAAACAATTCGAAATTTAAACAATTTTAAATTTAATTAATTTAATATCTTTTTCATTTGGTATCACCTATATATTTCCTAATTTTAAATATTTTGTTAGCTTTTTTATTAATATTATTTTATTAACCCTTTCTGTTTAATTTTACTAATTTTTTGTCTTGAAATCATATTTTTTTTTTATCGTATCAGAAAAAAAGAAAGCAACACCAGCTAATTTAAAATTCTTGAAAAATATTAGCTTTACTAATAAATTCTATTTTCAATTTTCTCTTTTCTCCCTTTCAATTGCAGCTGGAACGTGATGTTACCTCCACCTTGATCCAAGATCCTGAAAGCGGTGTTGTACGTAAAAATACCAAAAAAGGTGCAGCTTATTTAACTACACGGGTTTTAATGCAGGCTTTTACAATGACTTTCTTAGCCGAATGGGGTGATCGCTCACAATTGACCACCATTATTTTGGCTGCTAGCAAGGTAACCACTTCTTGATATTTTTTAATCAATTAAGAAGTTTAATTTAATTTTCTTTTTTTTTTCTTTTCTAGAACGCCTATGGTGTTACTGCTGGCGGTGTTATTGGTCATTCCATTTGTACTGGTTTGGCTGTGATTGGTGGCCGCATGGTGGCTGCCAAAATTTCTGTACGTACTGTTACCATTGTCGGCGGCATAGTGTTCCTAGGTTTTGCTCTTTATGCCTTAATAGTACGTCCCGATGATATTTAAACCTATAGCGATCCGTTTCCCGCTGATGTATTTGACGACCATTAAAATCCAAAGTCTTTATTTACCTGCAGCATTGTAAACGTTAAAAATTAAGCTACAACACTGATACGATTTATATTTATAGATATTTTTTGTTTTTTTTTTTTTTTTATTATTATTATTTCATTGTAGTATTTTATGTGTGTATAACGTGAAATTAAGAAAAGTAATTTAAAAAATGTTAAATTATTTAAATTGCAAATGAAGTGAAAAGAAAACAAAAAATGTAGTCTTTAAGAAATATGTATATGAAAAGAAAATATGAATGTTTTTATTTAAAAAGAAAGAAAATCTCCATGAGTTTTATTTCAATCAGTTGTATTAAGGATCTACTGAAGAAATTAAGTTTGTAAAAATAATTTTGTATTCGTGATCGAGTAAGTAAAATTGATTGTAATTTTTCTTTTAAACTGCAATTGCTGCAATTCGGCACCAAAAAATAATCTTAATTACGAAGTTAGTTAAAGCTAAATGTTATTAAAAAAATATGTTATTAGTTTCTCTAATCTTCAAAAACAGAAAAGCAAATGCGCTCTTAATCTGACTCCAGAGGGTTGTTCGATTTTGAAAATTCTGTTGGAATGTTAAATTATAAAATAAATGTATTGCAGTTTTAATTTTAAAAACTTCAGTTTGCAAAAGGTCAAAGAATATTTATGATCTTAAAGCTGTTTAGCTATAGAATTAGCTCAGAAGAAGTACTCCTTAACTCGATATAAAAACAATCTTATATGTAGTAATGTCGAATAAAACCAAAAGTTAAACATTTTTTGCACAACATATTCATAAACCCAATACAGGGTCATGAATACGACTCACGATCAATGACAATCATACATAACAAGGTCGCCTTTTGTATGATTCTTGTTGATCGTGGACTATGGTACTATTTATAAATGGATAAAAAATAAAAAGATTTATTCCAGTACTTGTCTGTTTTAAAGGTTTAGCAATAAATCATTTCCGTACTAAACTATTTCTGACTTTATTATGTTAAAGGCTTTGAAGAAGTCGAAAAATGTTTGGAAACATTTAAAGAAGTAAATTTTTAAAATAATAATCGTTTCCTCTCGGAGATATTCCTTCATTCATTTTGTCTGACATTGTTTAGATTCCCATCAGAGACACTGGTGTAGGTTTAAATGTATTTCTTCGAATTGAAAGAATCATTTATCCTAATTATCCAGCGAACTAACTATTGATTGTTGCCGTTCCCCAACAATTGCATCCCCGCTCCGGAATGACCCGATTCTCAATCGGCCAAAGATTGTCAAGTAACGAACGAACGTAGCGAACGGCCGAAACTGAACGAACGACGAACGAACGAACCGAACGAACGAACGAACGAACGAACGAACAACGAACGAACGAACGGACAACGAACGAACGAAGAACGAACGAACTAACGCAACGAACGAAACGAACGAACTAACGAAACGAACGAACGAACGCACGAACGAACTAACGAACTAACGAACGAACTAACGAACGACGACGAACGAACGAAACGAACGAACGAACGAACGAACGCACGAACGAAACGAACGAACGAACGAACGAACGAACGAACGAACGAACGAACGACGAAAGAACGAACGAACGAACGAACGAACGAACGAACGATACGAACGACGAACAACGAACGATACGAACGAACGAACAAGAACGAAGAACGAACGAATCGAACGAACGAACGAACGAACGAAGAACGAACGAACGAACGAACGAACGAACGAACGAACGAACGAACGAACGAACGAACGAACGAACGAACGAACGAACGAACGAAACGAACGAACAACGAACGAACGAACGAACAACGAAACGAACGAACGAAACGAACGAACGAACGAACGAACGAACGAACGAACGAAAGAACGAACGAAACGAACGAACGAACGAACGAACGAAACGACAACGAAACGAACGAACGAACGAAACGAACGAACGACGACTAACGACGAACGAACGAAAAACGAACGAACGAAGGAACTAACAACTAACAAAACTAACAAAGAACGAACGAACGAACGAACTAACGAACAAAACGAACTAACGAACGAACGAAGGAACGAACGAACGAACGAACGAACGAACGAACGAAAGAACGAACGAACGAACGAACGAACTAACTAACGAACGAACGAACGAACGAACGAAACGAATAACTAACTAACGAACGAACTAACGAACGAACTAACTAACTAACTAACTAACTAACTAACTAAACGAACTAACTAAAACTAATTAACACTAACTAATAACTAACTAACTAACTTAACTAACAACTAACATACTAACTAACTAACTAACTAACTAACTTACTAACTAACCAATATCATATGGGCATTTGCAAAACATAAAGGCCACAAATGAGTTTTGCCTGGTTGATAGCGATCTCCAAGATTTCATTTTTTTTTTTTCAACTTTTAAAAAACATTTTTAGAAAAATCCTTAATTTCTACATAAAACAACCTTATAAAACCAATTAACTTTAGACCACATTAAAATCAATTATTTACAACATTGATCAATAATCTTACAGTTCCTGTTAAACATAAAATTGATATAATTCGACATAAATAGCTGCAATTTTCATAATTAGTTTAAAATTATAAAAAATTTTGCATTAAATACATATTAACAAGCGTGTTCAACCTAATTTAGAAAAATATTGAACAAAAATAATTTTAACAATTTGTTGTTTTCACAAAAATTAAACAATAACATGCAACAATAATTCCGCATTAAATATTGTTTATTTATTATTTTATTTATTTAAGTTCAATAGTAAAATTAAATAAAATGATTTCCTTACAATTTGTTTACTTTTTTTTTTGTAATACAAATTATAGAAAAATAAAATCAAATAATTAATGGTCATCATATTGTTTATAATTTATTTTCCAAAAAAAAAAAAAAACTTATAAAATACTCATACAAATTAATAATTAATTAAATAAAAAAATATACATAAAATAAAAACAGCATAAAATTAATAAAATAATAATAATAATTATAAAAAAAGAAAGAACTCAAATAAATGAATCACGTAGTTTTTTGTTTTAAATTAAAAGAGTAGTATTTAGTTGCAATATTTAAATTTTTTTTTTTTTTTTCATATAAAAAGTAGAGAATAATTAGTAGAGAATTACAGAAGAGAAGTGGTTTTGATTAAATAACAATAATAATTTACTTCCTACTCTACGCACATACACACACAGACAAACACTCGAAGAGATTTACTTTTGTGTCTTGGGATCCCGATAGATACCGGTGAATAGTACAGCCTTAGAGGTGTGATCATAGATTAGGAACAAAAATGGATGATTGCACTCGAATTTGGTGGGTTCAACGGGACGTGCAGAACGGAAACTGAACAACACTGTGGCGGCCGCAGCTGTACTACCCTCTTCGTCCACCTTGATTTTGGCTACATGTTTGGCATCACCCACTTTCAATTGAGATTCAGCAGAGAAACCAGTTAAATCGGCATTGTGCTCGAACAAAGAGTTAATGCCCAATTTACGGAGGATCTATAGAAGTGGTGAAAAATTAGTACTTTTTTTCATTAAAAACTCCTGGAATCAAATCCCCTTACTTACCGGTACCAATTCCAAATTTTGTTCAAACTTAAACTTAGGCAACGAAATATCAATTTCTCTGGGCATACTGTCCTTCAAAGCATTTTCCAAAGTATCAGGTTTCAATTTCGACAAAACCTCATCCAAACCCGATTGGAAGGGAGGCAATATAATGACCATGGAAATATCGGAGTCCTTGTTCTCATCATTAGAAGTCATATAGGGCATTTGTAAGACATGAGCACCAATTTGTTCATCAATGGCCAAGTTAAAGGTACCACGTTTGTGCATCATGGGCACAAATGAATGTTGGCTGGGGGAGGTATAGAAGATTTCCTGTTTAGTATCTTTAGGATCAAACTTATCCGACCATTGACCCTTGAAGTAGGCAGCATTAGCCAAAACCATTTCACTTTCGGTGGTAACATCCCCGGGATTTAACATTTCGGGGATTTCATTGCGTGTGATTTCGGCAATCCAATGATTAATGTTCATTCTGCTGGCTTCAGCATTATTTCTAAAGTCCAATTTTTCCAATTCATCGGGGAAGTTTTCACTGAGACAGGGTGATACATTAATACTCTTGTCAAAGTATATTTTATCGGCCGAGGCAAATTCCACCGAGGAGTTTTTGGCTCTAGTGAAACGTGTCTGTTTTTCCAAGCGATAGGCATTGTTAATGTGTTTCTTATTCTTGGCCCATTGCAAACGTAAAGCCTGCACCAATTCCTTTTCCGTATTGCCATTGGCACCAAAATAGGCCAAAAGCAAAGCATGGAAAGTGGAGTAGGGAGAGAAGAACACATTTTCATTAGGAGTGGCTTTTTGAATGGCCTCTAACATGGCCAAAGTAAACTCCTGTTGACCACGATATAACTCCGAGCGTATATTCTTGGGCATGGCACCCACATCATTGGCCGAAAAGCAACCATTATCTTGGGCTTTACCAAAAGCCACCAGCACCGTGCACAGGAAACCAGTTAGAAATAATTTCATGGCTAACAAGTAATTTAAAAAATAGATTTAAGATTTTGTTAATGTTTTAATCATAATGATCATTGACTTTATTTTGGCAAACTCAGGCTTTTGAACTGCAAAACGGCAATGACTTGGCTGCTAAACTATTGAAACTCAATTATACATAAATTCCCAGAAATTGTTAAATAGTATTTTTCAAATACAAACAGACAGATGGTTAATCATGTTTGTGCGCATAACTTATTAAAAATCCCAATTGTATTGAATGTGTGCATGATCCACGATCAAATCGAAACAGACAAAACATGACCTTGACTATGTGTGGCTTTAAAAATCGGGGACGTGTTGTTAAAGCTGTGGTTTATTGAACGCTTAAAGTTCCCACTCCTAACGTTTAACAATAAGTAAACAAACAATATTTACAAATATTTAAATATTTTAATAAACTTTACCAAGCTTATGAACAAAAAAACGTGCTTAAATTTCTAATATTTCTTTTTGGGGGTGTTTGGTGGGTTATACTGGGGAAGCCGAAAACCCAATTAAAAGCCTTGTGTGCTACAAATTATTGGAAATCCCTGCCGCAACAAATTCGATTGAACTTATCAATATATTTCCATTGATTTTTTTTTCTTCATAATTATTTGTATAATTAATTGTTAGTCATATTTCAAAACAATGCATTTTTGCTACGATCAGACGAAGTAATATAAAAACGATTGCAATGACGCAAATGAAGAAGAAAAATTTGCAATAAAAACCAATTTTAATTTTGTTGACGGAAAGTGAAAGTAGTTTTACTTAGTTGCATTCGATTAACATGTTAAACTAAGCTTAACTGGCCAAAGTCTTGAGAAATTGCAAGCATTTTTTCCAAGTGACTGAGTTTTTTTGTTTTGTTTTTTAATGTGGGTTTAAAAACAACCAAAGAAGGTATGAATCATCTTCAATGAATTGCATAAACTTTGTAAGTTGCAAATTGTTGGAAAGTTTAAAATTTTTTTAGTACTAACTATAAATCAGTAAAGTTTAATTGTTAAAGAAATAAATTTTTGCACGTAGTATTTTAAAATTAAATTTTTGTTTTCTCATTAATAATAAACAAATTCTAATGATATAATAATATTGATAGAATAGTGAATTCTATTAAAAATGAGATATAAAAACTACAACATAGTTAAATCCACTGATCCATATCAATTTATTTGAATAATAACTGCAACAAAGTTGTAAAGATAATTTAAATTGAAAGTTTACAATAATTTTACCTCAAAAAAATCTTGTTAAACAATTTAGTCCCATTATCCTAATATCATGTTATCGTTACGTTATGAAAGAAATCAGTTAGTGCCATCATAAATACTCCGATTTATCTTTTGATAGAGAATATCACTTTTAAGACATCTCTTGGAAAAAGGCATCCAAAAATTAGTCATTAGAATTTCATTTTAAAACATTGGAACCCAGATTCTATCATGGGGAAAGCATTTGTTCTTGTCAGCATTAGAAAAATCTCCGATAAGTTCTTAAACATCTCCAGACAGAGTAGAACTGACACCAATCCATTTGATGACAAGTTGGCGGTAGAAACAGGTTTCGCAATTTCATAACTGTGTTTTTTATGGATGAAAGTTTAATTCTATTTCAGTTTTAGTTCAGTTGTGGTTCAGTTCTAGTTCAGTTCTAGTTCAGTTCTAGTTCAGTTCTAGTTCAGTTCTAGTTCAGTTCTAGTTCAGTTCTAGTTCAGTTCTAGTTCAGTTCTAGTTCAGTTCTAGTTCAGTTCTAGTTCAGTTCTAGTTCAGTTCTAGTTCAGTTCTAGTTCAGTTCTAGTTCAGTTCTAGTTCAGTTCTAGTTCAGTTCTAGTTCAGTTCTAGTTCAGTTCTAGTTCAGTTCTAGTTCAGTTCTAGTTCAGTTCTAGTTCAGTTCTAGTTCAGTTCTAGTTCAGTTCTAGTTCAGTTCTAGTTCAGTTCTAGTTCAGTTCTAGTTCAGTTCTAGTTCAGTTCTAGTTCAGTTCTAGTTCAGTTCTAGTTCAGTTCTAGTTCAGTTCTAGTTCAGTTCTAGTTCAGTTCTAGTCCAGTTCTAGTTCAGTTCTAGTTCAGTTCTAGTCCAGTTCTAGTTCAGTTCTAGTTCAGTTCTAGTCAGTTCTAGTCAGTTCTAGTTCAGTTCTAGTTCAGTTCTAGTTCAGTTCTAGTTCAGTTCTAGTTCAGTTCTAGTTCAGTTCTAGTTCAGTTCTAGTTCAGTTCTAGTTCAGTTCTAGTTCAGTTCTAGTTCAGTTCTAGTTCAGTTCTAGTTCAGTTCTAGTTCAGTTCTAGTTCAGTTCTAGTTCAGTTCTAGTTCAGTTCTAGTTCAGTTCTAGTTCAGTTCTAGTTCAGTTCTAGTTCAGTTCTAGTTCAGTTCTAGTTCAGTTCTAGTTCAGTTCTAGTTCAGTTCTAGTTCAGTTCTAGTTCAGTTCTAGTTCAGTTCTAGTTCAGTTCTAGTTCAGTTCTAGTTCAGTTCTAGTTCAGTTCTAGTTCAGTTCTAGTTCAGTTCTAGTTCAGTTCTAGTTCAGTTCTAGTTCAGTTCTAGTTCAGTTCTAGTTCAGTTCTAGTTCAGTTCTAGTTCAGTTCTAGTTCAGTTCTAGTTCAGTTCTAGTTCAGTTCTAGTTCAGTTCTAGTTCAGTTCTAGTTCAGTTCTAGTTCAGTTCTAGTTCAGTTCTAGTTCTAGTTCAGTTCTAGTTCAGTTCTAGTTCAGTTCTAGTTCAGTTCTAGTTCAGTTCTAGTTCAGTTCTAGTTCAGTTCTAGTTCAGTTCCAGTTCAGTTCTAGTTCAGTTCTAGTTCAGTTCTAGTTCAGTTCTAGTTCAGTTCTAGTTCAGTCCTAGTTCAGTTCTAGTTCAGTTCTAGTTCAGTTCTAGTTCAGTTCTAGTTCTAGTTCAGTTCTAGTTCAGTTCTAGTTCAGTTCTTGTTCAGTTTTAGTTTAGTTCTAGTTCAGTTCTAGTTCAGTTCTAGTTCAGTTCTAGTTCAGTTCTAGTTCAGTTCTAGTTCAGTTCTAGTTCAGTTCTAGTTCAGTTCTAGTTCAGTTCTAGTTCAGTTCCAGTTCAGTTCTAGTTCAGTTCTAGTTCAGTTCTAGTTCAGTTCTAGTTCAGTTCTAGTTCAGTTCTAGTTCAGTTCTAGTTCAGTTCTAGTTCAGTTCTAGTTCAGTTCAAGTTCAGTTCTAGTTCAGTTCTAGTTCATGGGCCTTTCAGAGAGACAGATAATTTTTGGTTTAATTTGAGGGAATGGTTCTAGATTCTACAGATAAAGATCAGAATTCTTAAATGTATCCAGAATTAAAATATGCCGGTATTTTGACATTTGAAATTTTTGTAACAAATTTGTTTAATTTTTTATTGTTATAACAATATCAGTTAATTGTTTTGCATAACAAGTAGGCATTTTTTCCCAAAAAATTTAAAACCGGATTACAAATTTTATAAATACAATAAAAAAACTTTTTCTGTCAAATAAACCGTTAAACAAATCACCTTTGTATGTGACATTCCAAATTGTCATACGTTTTAAAGTGAAGTAATTTAAACTTCTTTATTTTTTATGAATCACGGAGTAAAAATAAATAAATAAAAAAATATTTATTTATGTTTGAGATTTCCCCCTTTATGTCAGCTTTTTACAAAAAATATTAACTTTTAAAAGTTTAGTAGTTTGACATGATTTAATCACTGTGTATGGAGTCAGTGTCTGAAATGAGTCAGCCGCACATGCGCATATTAAATACGAGTAAACAAAACTATAACGCATGACTACCAGCCGCAACAGCATCGCTTTGTTTTTTGGGGGAAGCTTTTTTTAACTATCAGTTGTGATTTTTTTTTTGCAGGAAATTTCAAGCGGAAGTATTAAAAACAATGGGGAATTTATAAATTAACAAAAAAAATGCGAAAGTTGAAAATGAACAATAAAAATGGAGAAAAAAAGAGGTCAACTGGAAAGTGTTAAAAGAAAATAAAGCCGTCATGGCATAAACGAGGGATTGCGAGGGTCATTAATTAATATAATTGTTATGAAAGGAAGAAACGTTTGCGCTTCAGAAAGTTTTAACAAAAAAATCAGAAATGTTTAATGGAAAAATTTCTAATCATGAATAAAGTTTCTGAAGTCTAAATTGAAAGTTTAATTTTCAAAACCCCAGAATTTTTTAAGTGAATTTCAAGTGCAAATAGTCTTTAAAATTGCTTAGAATAGAATAAGTTTCAACTCTTAGACCCTTTTACTGAATATTTTAAATTCTCAATACCCCTTAATTAGTAGAATGCTAATGAATACTTAATTTTTAAAAACCCCGTTGAAAGAATCTCAGCTGTTGTAAATGGCTTATTATACTATTAATTACCCAAGACATTAGAGTCGAGCTTTATCTTATGCCCACATTAAGTGTTTTGGGAATTCCGAAATGATTAAAAGCTAAACTAAAATATCACACAACTTAATAATAATAACCACGACAAATTTAAAACATTTCAAAATGAAACGTCTATGACAGTAATGAGCAAAAAAAAAAAAAGTCAAAGTTGTCGCAAATAGCACAAAAATAAACTGATAAACCATAAATAATGAAGGTCAATTGATAGTGAGAATATTTTAATACATATTCATAATTTCAGAAATTAAATAAAGCGCCAACTACAGAAGAGCAGTTTCATTTAAAAAAGGGGATCAAAAAAGTACCTACTTAAAAAAAAATTCTAAAAAGGGGATATTTTAAAGGGGGTTTAAAAAATCATTTAAATTCCATTTTTAATTTAAATAATTCATGGTTTGTTTTTACTTTTTATCAGTTTATAAATATGTTAAACATTAATGGTTTCTGAAGAAATAGAAAAAAGAACACAGTAATTCTAATTTATTTTAAGATATTCTTGCCGGGTGATTACCCGCAACTTGGAAAAAAGATATTGAATTTTTTAGAAACATACTTTTTGTGTTATTGTGCTTTGATACTAAATTAAATTGTTGTATTGATTTATTGGATCTTAAAATCGGGGTATAATTTTTGCCCGATTATACAGGCTAACAAATTTTTAACCCAAAGACTAAAATACTATTTTCTAAGGTATTAAGCTACGCTGAATCCGAATCGAAATTTCTCCACCTTATCAGGTTTTTCAGATATCGAGGCCTAAATTTTGAAAAATCCCTGTTTTTTGAACGTTTTAATAATCTGAGCAAATGACTCAGAAACAATAAGACCGAAATGTCCATATCACATTAAAAATAACCGCATTAAAAATAACGTGCTTCGATCATGACCGATGAAGGGACCTTCAAAGAGAAAGATAATTTGCACTGATTCTAGATTTAACAGATTAAGATCAGAAATCTTAAATGTATCTCGAATCGAAAAGAATGGTAATATCCCCACCTCATCAGATTTTCGAGATATCGTACAGTATACCCCCCCCCTCATTTACCATATTTGAGACTTTTGAACAGCTTTATTTATAAAGTTTATGCCATCTAAATGTGTATAGTAGAGTCTAGTCTATAATCTAGTCTATATCCTAGACTATAGTCTAGTCTATAATCTATCCTATAGCCTAGACTATAGTCTAGTCTATAATCTAGTCTATAGTCTAGTCTATAGTCTAGCCTATAGTCTAGTCTATAGTCTAGTCTATAGTCTAGTCTATAGTCTAGTCTATAGTCTAGTCTATAGTCTAGTCTATAGTCTAGTCTATAGTCTAGTCTAGTCTAGTCTAGTCTATAGTCTAGTCTATAGTCTAGTCTATAGTCTAGACTAGACTATAGACTAGACTATAGACTAGACTATAGACTAGACTATAGTCTAGTCTATAGTCTAGTCTATAGTCTAGTCTATAGTCTAGTCTATAATATAGTCTATAGTCTAGTCTATAATATAGTCTATAGTCTAGTCTATAGTCTAGTCTGTAGCCTGTTTAATTACGGAATAAATGACCGTAAAATCTAAAAAGATCACTGTGAAATCAATATCAACCGATGAGTCTAATTAAAATAAATTTTTGCAAACATTGCTTAACAAAAATTTAAATCGCTTTAAAAGGAACTTAATTTGTGCTGCAAAAAGTACCACCAACACATTTGATCTTAATACTTGTTTCTAAAGAATGAATCTTAAAAAAGTAACACTTTAAAAATATCACTAATTACCCCATAAGATCATGTTGATAATCATAGACATAACGTCACAGATTTAATTACGGGGTTTTTCCATAATTATATATAAAATATAAAGAAAAAAATAATTTTGTATATAAAGTGTATATAGGTAAATATGTATTATAAATATGTACATACATTTACATACAAATTTAATAAATGCATTTGAATTAGGTTTGAATTAAAAAAAGTATATTGAAATCAAAATATTGATTGATCGTTGGATAGAGAGGTACGTTTGTCGTCGTTAAAGGCCATCAGTAATAACAATGGAGGAGCTTTTTTCTTGTTGTTGTTGTTTTTGCACAGACAAATATAACAAACAAAAACAATTTTCGTAATAATATACAACAACAAAACCAAAAAAATAATTACAAAGAAACGACAAATAAATAATGGAGACAACAACAACTAAAAATCATAAGAAATCCCAAAACAGTTCAATTCAAGCCTGATTTTATGTCTATTTGCCAATAGTCATTGCAAAATGTTAAAATGTTTTTATTTAATTTTTTCTTAATTTTCTTTACTTTTTTTCGTTGTTGTTACTGGTTGAGTTTAAAAGTGCGTTTTGTTGTAGTTGCAGTTTAAAATCTCGCCTTCAGTTACTGCTGTTGACGATGATATAAGCACTTGTTTGAGCTCCGTTAAACCGGTCGGTCCTCTCCAAAAATAAATCGTATGTATGTGTATAAACTATGTACAATTGCGAAAAAGTACTTAATTATTTGTTAAATGTTATCTTTTGGTTTTTTATATGTATATATTTTTTAGATTTTTTATTTTATTTTTTTTATAAACCAACAACACTTTTTGATTTGAATGAAGCCAATTCAAAACACCGCTTCAAATTTTAAATAACTTTTCGATTTGACTATTCGCGTTAAACTGTTTTAATACGATTTCGACTTGAAACATTAAAAGCTGGTTTAAAGTTTAAAGTCGTCCACATTTTTTTCATTTTTAAAAAAGCTTTGTTTTCCCCATTCCATTGAGTGGAGATGGGAAATAAAAGCTACATTCCATTAGCTTTGAGTTGAAATAATTACAGTGTGTAAATATTGAATTCTTCTCTTTGTTTAGTAAAACATTTATTTACTTTAACACTGGTATTTAAGTGAGGGTCTTTTTAAGTATAACTAACTAACTAACTAACTAACTAACTTTTTTTTTCATTTTAGTTATTATTTATTGAATCTTTCTTACATAGAAATTTACAATAAGTATTGAAATCTAAACCTAAACTATAACTAACGTCGTTATTGCCACTGCAATTTCAACAAAAGTTCTCGATAATTTGATAATAACTACTAACTACTAACTAACTAACTACTAACTAACTAACTAACTAACTACTACTAACTAACTAACTAACTAACTAACTAACTAACTAACTAACTAACTAACTAACTAACTAACTAACTAACTAACTAACTAACTAACTAACTAACTAACTAACTAACTACTAACTAACTAACTAACTAACTAACTACTAACTAACTAACTAACTAACTAACTACTAACTAACTACTAACTAACTAACTAACTAACTACTAACTAACTAACTAACTAACTAACTAACTAACTAACTAACTAACTAACTAACTAACTAACTAACTAACTAACTAACTAACTAACTAACTAACTAACTACTAACTAACTAACTAACTAACTAACTAACTAACTAACTAACTAACTAACTAACTAACTAACTAACTAACTAACTAACTAACTAACTAACTAACTAACTACTAACTAACTAACTAACTAACTAACTAACTAACTAACTAACTAACTAACTAACTAACTAACTAACTAACTAACTAACTAACTAACTAACTAACTAACTAACTAACTAACTAACTAACTAACTAACTAACTAACTAACTAACTAACTAACTAACTAACTAACTAACTAACTAACTAACTAACTAACTAACTAACTAACTAACTAACTAACTAACTAACTAACTAACTAACTAACTAACTAACTAACTAACTAACTAACTAACTAACTAACTAACTACTAACTAACTAACTAACTAACTAACTAACTAACTAACTAACTAACTAACTAACTAACTAACTAACTAACTAACTAACTAACTAACTAACTAACTAACTAACTAACTACTACTACTAACTACTAACTAACTAACTAACTAACTAACTAACTAACTAACTAACTAACTAACTAACTAACTAACTAACTAACTAACTAACTAACTAACTAACTAACTAACTAACTAACTAACTAACTAACTAACTAACTAACTAACTAACTAACTAACTAACTAACTAACTAACTACTAACTAACTAACTAACTAACTAACTAACTAAAACTAACTAACTACTAACTAACTACTAACCAACTAACGACGTAACATTATTTACGAATAATGTAAACAAAATAGTTTCATCAAAGAAACCTCAGTTTTTAACAAATTAATCTTAATACATAACAATGAATTCATTAAAACCTAGGAATATATTAAATTTATTATTTAAATCATTAATAAAATAATTTAATTGATTTGTTATTAACTAAATTCAGCCATTTTAATTAACTTCCGTTAACAACTTCCTCTAATTTTCAAACCATTTACATATTAATACATTTTAGCGATTATTTTTGTTATATTATACTAAACAGCTGTTTTCAAAATCACACTGCGTTAACCACACTCAAAGTACAATCAACTGCAACCAACTTCACAACATTGAAAATTTTCTGTAGATATAGTTAATTTGGAGAATTGTTTGTTGCTCTGTTAAATTTTTGTTAAAAAATGCTATAAAAAGTGTAAAATAATTATTAAAACCTAACGAAATGGCTACACAAAAACCAGGCGAATGGGCCAATTCATTATTGGCCCGTTTCGAAGATCAGGTAAAGTGAAAAAATTGAAAAATTCTATCACGGTTCCTCCCAAAATGGTAAAGTGAAAAACGCAAAAAAAAAAGATTTTTTTGGGTAATACAGATGTATCGATTGAAAAAAATTGTGTGAGCGAGTTGGAAAGAGTGTGCGAGTGAGATGGATGATTTGTTATTGTTTTGAGAAGTTGTTTTTCGCGTTTAACGTTTGTTTACGTTTTGTGTGGAGAGAAATTTATGAATGAAAATGCCGACAGAAGTGAGAAAGAAAGGAATGAATGAATTTTGCACGTGTATTTTGATGAATTTTTTTGTTAAGAGTGTGCTTTGAGTGAGTGTGTGCGCTAGAGATTGGGGTTGTGCGAGTGTTTATGCGTAGTATTTGTTTGTAAACAAAAAATGTAGGTAAATTGAAGGTTGTTATTTCACTTTGTTGTTGTTTTCGTTTGTGGATTTCTTTTGTAAAAGGGGGAGTTTAGTATTGTTGTTGTTTTGTAAAGGCTTTGAAACTTTGACATAGATTTGTGATGTTAAATAATGTAGGATAATTGTTAAATTGAGAATCAGACAATTTTGAAAATTTTTTGTGATTAAATTTTTAGTAAATAATTAAATTTAGTGAACATTTTTGGTAAATTGATAAATCTAGATAGTAGTGAAAATATTCGGTAAAATAACTTTTAGGGAAAATTTAGGTGAAGTAAAATTCTAGTGAAAATTTTCGGTGTAATAAATTTTAGTAAAAATTAAATTTTTGAGACATTTTTTTTTTTTGGTAAAATTAATTTTTTGTAAAAATTTTCGATGAAACGAAATTTTAGTGAAAATTTTCTATGAAATTTGGGTGAAAATTTTCAGTGAAATGAAATTTGAGTACATATTGTCGTAAAATTAAATTTTAGTGAAACTTTTCGGTTAAATAAAATTAAATGAAAATTTTTGGCGAAATTAAAATTTTGTGAAAACTTTTGTTAGAACTATTTTTAGTGAAATTTTTGGTGGAATTCAATTTTAGTAAAAATTTTTTGAAAAAAAAAAACATTCCATTTAGCGAAATATTTTGGTAAATTTATAAATTTTCGATTTAGAAAAAAATTTGGATTTTGCGATTAATTAATCTTGAATTTAATTTCGATAAAATGAAAATATATACCTATTAAACAAAAATTTTTACTTTCTTTCCAGCTTCCTAACAAAACAACCGGACCCCATGGCACCCAGGCTAGAATGAGCCAAGACCAATTGGTGGGATGTCTTATACACATTTCACGTTATCGTTTTTCGTTGGTAATATCCGGTCTTACCAAAATGCTACAAAGAGTCAATGAAGCCGTAAGTTTTGCCAACATATAAACTTTTCCGACACTTAACAATAACTTTTTTTAGGCTATCCAAAATCGTCACGAAACCGATCGTTGTTATTTTGAATCTCTGATCATTATTTTAACCACCCTCGAACGTTGTCTGACCAATCAGACCAAGGATAACGGCTCGTTTTGAAGAAGCCATGAATGTTAAACTTTTGCTACGTGAAATTACCCAATTTATTGATGTCCAAAGTGATAATAATCCTCATGCCGCCCAATTGAAAATTTTAGCTTCAAAAG